CCAAAGGTACCAAAGTTCCAAAGAAAGATCCCGCGAGATATTTTCGATATTTAATAGCTCGTGCATTATCTGGGCTCAAAGCTAGACATCCTAAAGTCCATGGCAAAGTAGCCACCAAATATGAAATCATAAAAATGTCATGCCAATCGTGATCGTCCGTAGAGGTAACATAAGTCCAACCACCACATGTAAGAGTACGGAAAACGCCCGCGAAAGCAACGAACTTGGGTAACTTTGAATTGGGTCGTGCAGTGAGAAGGTACCATAATCCAACGAGAGCAAATCTAGGACCTGAAAGAGATGTTAAACAAGCTTCATATAGCTCCAATATCATGATCTCTGCCACATACCAGATGTAATAGCTATAAAGACCATAAAAAACGAACGTTCCGGGTATCGATCTCCAATTGTCGCGGAAACTGAAGGGAACCATTCATCTGGATAACCATAATATTCATTTTGAACGATTTTGTGATAATGGAGTGAAACTCCAACAATGAGTGCGCTGAGAAAGGCAGCTATTGATAGATTGTAAGTAACTTCAACATAAATAAGGTAAAACCAAAGATTCGTTTGCTCTTACCATATGCGACTGCGGTATGAGTCCATGACACCCATTTACCTGAGAAAGCGAGTACAGTGTCGCCGTCCTTAAATTTAGGTGCCATCTGTGATTCTAATCACTTTGTATATGAAATATTCACATCCAAATGAGTGTAGTCCGTAGCATCCGGAGAGATAAAAGAGGAAAGAGGGAAGAAAAAATTGAGATGGGATGGGATGGCAATCACAAATGGGGTTCAATGTAAGGTACAAGTGGGCACGCGTTTATTTGAGATGAGATGAGTTGTTGGAGACCAAGCCTTTTGAGATAGCCGTGAAAGCCGTGGGAGCCGTGAAAGTCATGCAATTCGTGCAATTCGTGCAAGTCGATTGATAATGGATTTTCCCCTCCAATAGACCTGGCCTGGGTGGACTTACAAGGTAAATTCTCAGCCTTCTCCGAAAGCTCCGTGACGTCTCGTGGGATTTTAAATTGTTAAGGTGGAACCTGTTCAAAAAGCTGTTCAATTCAAAAAAAAACTCGTGGCGCGCAGAGTTCAAAGTGTACCTGGGCTGGCTGGGTAAACACGACACGGATGATGGTAATCCTTGTTGGCCGGGGACTCGGACTTTTGATATTCCGTCTTTACCGACTAGGCTTAAATTGATCGGCATAATTTCTGCAATTATTCACCGCCCAAAGAATTTCTGAAGATTTCCCCGAAGGTAAAGAAAAGTCCAGAGAATCATCATAAAAATCAATATTCATATAATTCAAGAATGTCGGGCGCAAACGATAAAGCAAGATTTTATCTTGAACAAGGTGTTCCTCAATTGCAAGAATTGGAGCAAAAGAAAATATTTACAAAGGTTAGTTCTACTATTTCTCTACATTTTACATGTCGTTTTCATCTTATGCGATCAACTACTAACCAAAAAATTGTATTCAGGATGAAATTAAAACACTAGTCAAAAAGCGTTCCGATTTCGAACATAGAGTGTTAGTGAGAGGTTCAAAAGCCGTTGATTTTGCTCGATATGCCGCATGGGAAATGAGTCTTGAGGAACTTCGTCAAAAAAGATGTAAACGAATGCGCATAAAAGGAAGCTCATCGCATGCCGGTCAAGCACGTGTATTCGGTATATTTGATAGAGGTGTAAAGAAACATGCTGGGGACGTCGCACTATGGATGTCATATTTGGAATATACAAGGAAAGCCAAAGCGACGAAGAAATTCAAGACGGTGTTGACAGCGGCAATTCGATTACATCCTACCAAACCGGAATTGTGGCTGTATGCGGCCAAATGGGCGTTAGAATTAGATGCGGATATGAATGAGGCAAGAAGTTACATGCAGAGGGGAACTCGATTCTGTACTAGGAGTAAGGACTTATGGATCGAATATGCGAAATTGGAGATGATCTATTTGGCAAAGATTGCTATACGTAGGAGGATTCTTGGTCTGGACATTGATAGGACTATCGAAGCTCCGGGAGAAATCGAAGAAACACCGGAAGAATCTGGATTCACAACCTCGCAGGATATGATCGCAATTCCAGATTTCAAGGATAACACAATGCAACCAAGCATGATGGCAAGAGTAGGAGTAGATTCCGAAGCCGCTAAAGATCCAATGACTACACCAGCTCTCAATGGCGCAATTCCGCTCGCTATCTTTGATGTCGCTAAAAAGCAAGCGTTCTATTCATCAGCCGCAGCAGAAGGATTCTTCGACATGTTCGCAGCATTCACTCAAGTAAAATGTCTTCCTAAAATCCTTCAACATGTTTTGGACAGTATGTTGGAATCATATCCTAAGGATCCCGCAACATGCAATTGTTATATCCGTCAACCATTAATCGGCATCGATCACACCTCTCCCGAATTTGCAGTCGCCATTGGATCTGCACTAAATCGTCTTAAGGAATCCTTGGAGAATACTAATGATAAAACCCAATTGTCACTCAAGACAAGAGCATGGATTGAGGCAATCATAGCATTACCAGAATTAGATTCAGGTATTCAAACGGTTTTGCAACACACACTCCGAAAGCTGGAATAACTGCAGCATGAATAAGGGGGCAGAGGATTCGAGCGCAGTACGTACACATTTAAGCGAATTTGGAGACGTAGACGTGGGAAATGTCTGAATTCTCGTTCGATGATGAAAGCGGGATCTCACACCGGTGGCAGTAAATAAACCTCTACAATCTTTGACTCCCCATCCATGAGATAAGGAAGGTTAGAGATACAGCAGAAGCAATAATCTAGACCTTGTGCATAATAATGTAAAGAGAAAAGTTTCAAATGGCGTTGGGCTTGGGCGGGAGTATAGGACGCGGGCTCTTCATGAGATACTCAATATCGAGAAGAAAAAGTACTACTCGATACCAAGAATCTATCAATTACTTTAATCATTTTCGAACCTGGATGAATGTGATTTTTGAACAGAGGTTGGTAGTTATCTATTTTCTTATATTGTTTACTCCATAGTTCAACCGTATGTGGACATAACCCACCTATCTCAAAGTTGAGACGAGAAGTTTTGCATTATTACTCTGGTAGTCTAGGTACCCTCCTTCTCGATGATTAGGAAAGTCATCCACTCATCTATCAAACTATTCCCATACATACATACATACATACATACATACATACATACATACATACATACATAAATCCATAAATTCATAAATCCATAAATTCATAAATCCATAAATTCATAAATCCAAATAAGTAGGATGATCGAGAATGATCAATAGATAGGTAGTCAAATCAGTCAACTCCCTCCCTCAATTTTCTTTCACTATATCTCTAGATAATCTTACCTATGTATCTATCTCTACAGTTCATCCCCAAACTTACTCGGAAAGACGAATAAATAGCTCGCTTCTGATACATTATATTTTTTTATCATCTCTATATTATCATCTCTATATACCTATATAGATAGATAGGTATCTAATCATTCCATCTCACCTCATCTCATCTCCTATTACAAATCATACTTCAATCAATCAATCAATTAATCAATCATCCCATCCCATTCCATTTCATTCCATCCCATCCCATCCCATTCCATCCCATCCCATCCCATCCATCCTATCCTATCCTATCCTATTCCATCCCATCCCATTCCCAATCTTATCTACCTTACCCATATCATACAAAAAACTACCCACCAATCTATATAAATGGTATATATACACACATAGATAGATATATATCATAACCTCTACAAGCAAGTAATTACCTAGAAATCCTCCCCCTCTTCCTATCACATTCTCAATACTTTTTAAAACCTAAATTTTGAAGTGGAGGGGGGGTGTGGGAATTGTATGGAGCTTGGAGCTTGGGGGTGGTGTTTAGATGTTTAGGTATGTATGTATATATACATCTATTTGTGGAATAATAGAATATATTTATTTGTTTATTTATCTATCTATTCATATATCCATCCATCCCTTCATCCCCTCCTCACTAATCAAACTCACACCTAATAAATTTCTCCATCTCCATATTTTGCTAAAACCCTAGGCTTCTATTCTAGATCGTTAAATATATCATGAATAGTATTCATATCAGTAGATGATTCGAGTTATTCAATACAAAATTAGTAATCAATGGTTTATTTATTTATTTATATATTCAGCATACCTAATCAAACGAGAATACAAGAATGGGATAGAGCGGAATGCATGATAGAAGTTTTCACAGGAGGATATAGGTATGCACTGAGGATTGAGAATACAATGAATATATCATTTTAATTTATCTGGGTGTTTGTATTCTTATCTGTATCTGTATCTGTATCTGTATCTGTATGTATGTATATATATCTGAACCCATTTCAAATTCCCTATTTGCATCCCCATCTAGAAGAAGAAAAATCCCCAAAACGCCATTCAACATCATGCGTAAGAAGCGAAATGTCGAAATGCGTCTGCAACTCTACGGTTTCTCCCATCTATCTATCTTTCTTTCTTTGCTTCTTGCCTTCAAACACTCTGGAAACAATCTGATGGAGTGAATAGGTGGAGATGGTAGATATCTAGTATGGAAGAGTAGAATAGAAGCACAACTCATACGTCCATACCATACCATATCATGAAAGAAGAAGATAAAAAAGATGATCCAAAGACAATCAAGATCAAAACCCCATTTTCCCTAGGGAGAAAATGTGATGAATAAATGAGTGAATGAGTGAGTAAATGAATGAATGAATGAATGAATGGCCGCCTCCAACCTCTTCGTTTCCGCCTCGAGGTCTTTTGTGTGGGTGTTGAAGTGATACTGCTACATATCACACCGATCGCCTGATATCTATCTTTCAAGCATCAGTTTTCTCCAGGAGATGCCTATCTTCTGGCAAGCACCCAACATCCAGCATCCAACATCCGTCACTCCATCCATCCCCACCATATCCCATGAATATACCTCAGCAAGTATTCACTCCTCAAACCAACCACCCATTAACAGGTGGATAAACCTGTTCCTCCCAGATCCTCCCCTCCTCTACACGTCCCTCACCCACTACCCCCCTCCTCTCCCTCGCCCTCACAATACTCTTCAAAATCCTCTCGCGATCCCCCTTACTCGCCGCAATGCGCGCCGAAATCGACACATGCGCTCGCTCCCCCATCGCTCCCGTTCCGAATCCTCTCACCCCAAGCATCTCCATCGTTGCGGTTGCGATTCCATCCCGTTTTCCGTGCGTGAAATATCCGTTTCCATGCACATCATACCTGTTTCGAGCGTTTCCGCGCACGCCCTCGGAGCTCGCAAAGGCTTTGACGCTGGAGGTTTGGTGGTAGAGGTTCTTGGCCGTGCTTTGGAAGTGGGTTTTGGAGAGGATGGATTGGTTGTAGCGGAGGAGGTGACGGGCGATGACGGGAAGGGTTTCGGGGGCGGACATGTTGGTGGGTTGTTTGTTGCGTGAAGTTGTATTTGAGGGGATAGTATGAAGGGAGTGATATACTTCAAGTGAGTTGAACGAGAAATAGATATTCGGTATTCGAAGGGCTCAATGAAGAGATCTCCTTTTGACGACGAGTTGGTTGAGTTGATCGACTTGCTTGCTTTCAGTATAATCCGTAGAGAAACCTCTCTTCTATAAATCTGTACGATCTTGAGAATTCTTGACTCCGGAACTCAAAGTAGAAATAGCAACTCCGTTCCTGAACAGGAAATGCGGGTTTGGATGCGAGTATCAAGTGATATTCACGTGAGGAATATCTGCGGGGAAATAAGGTTAATCGTTGATGATGATGATGATATGATAACGATAATGTGACGTGATATGATCTGATGTAACGTGAACACTGAACACCAATAAAAGACGACGATAAAAGCTATCAAACAATGAGATGAATCGAAAATCCTCCTGGGACTATTTGTCGATATATATAATCTCTCCAAGCACAAAACCAAGAAAGATGAACACGGAGGTAATTAAACAACGATAAAGTATGATAAATAAATAAGAAATCCTTCTGCTACCCGGAAACCCCGTCGAATATTTATCCTCCAACCCATCAGCTGCCCACCTCATCCCTTTCTCCATCCTATCCCATCCCGTCCCGTCACCAAAGGTTACACCTTCCTTCCATCCGTCCAGCCCGCCAAGCGCCCACCAAGTTCCACCCGCTGAAACCATACTCCACCCATGCGATACAACCATAACCTGCGCGCCGACTCGATAGAGAAATACTCCAGAGAAACGCCGGAGAGACTGCAGTACTGCCTGCACACACACACACACCCATTCGAAAATGCGTACATACAAACTGCCAAACATCTTGGCCCACCCAAGCTTCTGGGCATTTAAGATTCCCTCACTACGCCCAGCAAATCACATGTGTCAAATATGTGACTTGGCTTCCAAAGTGGATTCGATCAAGATAAAACTCGAGAAAGTTAAAGGTTCCATTCGCACGCTAATACCTTATCTGTTTGGATAAATGGATAAATTTAGATTTCTCGCTTGGCATCTTCAGATCAGCACGGCTGCTTCCGTTTGTATCAATTCGAGGGGGAAATCCCTTTTGGTGGGGGTGTTTTGAGGGAATATGTGGATTGCGAGCATGGAGAATCATAGAAACATCACGGGGTTAGATGAGAGATTGCTTGATACTCCAAGAACTCGGACACAAACAAGGTATCATGAAGGGCTAGACTTGATGCGAATAGCCCCATTGTATCCAATTAGTACGTTTAAGAGGAAGAACAAGAAGACTACCCAAGTGTTCTCTTCATCAATATGTGACTTTCCAAGACTATCATTGCATTGTGAAATGGTATCCTGTTATTAAGAAATCTATAAGCTTTCCTTCCCAATACACCCACTAGATTTCCAAGAGCTCATATCATAGCTCAACTGTCTCAAATCTCATCTCCATCATGCAAACAAAAATTCCCAACCCAAAGTTGCTCAAAAAGATACTTCAACTCCTCATTTGAATATAAAGTCGACGTGAAACGCCAGAAGAAATAGATCATGGTCGTAAGGAATTCGTATCGTCCAGTGGCATGGTGTGGAGAAAATAAAAAAAATGGTAAAGGGCCGAAGAGAACAAGAAGAATTGAAGTTTTGAATATCAAGTGCTTTTTCATCATCATCTTCCCGAGATCTTCGCCGCTCCTGCAGACCATAAACCCTTTGTCGTTTCAGCAATTTTCATAGTCTGCGCCTCGATTTGTGCTTCTGTTTGACCTTGACCAGAACTTCTCTCTATAGCTCTCATAAACTTTTCACGCTCATCATTATTTGTACCTGCTGTACCATATCCTGAATCAACATCCATAGCATTATCTCCATCTCCATCTCCAGGTCCCATTCCACCCAAGCCAGAATCTTTACTGTTGTGATTCAAAGGTCTGGCTCCACGATCGGGCTCCATAGATTTTGAACCGTCCATCATGCCAGCTTGACCTTCGCGGAGTTTATTAATGGCGCGCACAGTATCAATGGCAGCATGAAGAGTACGCCTGGCATTGAAGTTCTTCTTAACAATCGGAAGTAAATCGCTACCTTTACCATCTTTTGATACTGATTCACCAGTGACGAAAGGGTGTGACAATGCTTCGTGGGCCGTCATTCTTTGGGTAGGGTCTATTGTAAGGCATTTCTTGATAAACTCTCGAGCTCCTCGACTGACACCTCGCCAGTATTCTATGGGTGTAAAGCTATAGTCTGCGATGAGAATCGCTTGCATTTCCTCCAAATTAGAATCTCTGTCGAAAGGCGTGTATCCACATAGTAAGAAATATGTAATGACACCAATTGCCCAAATATCGACTGGTTTTCCGTGTCCTGTCTTCTTAAAGATTTCGGGGGCCATGTAACCTGGTGTACCGCACGTCGTGGTTAAAACGTGAAATTGCTCTTCGTCCATTATTCTGCTCAAGCCAAAATCTGCAATCAACAAATCCGCATTATCTTCTGGGGTTCGAAACAATAGATTCTCGGGTTTAAGATCTCGATGAACGATGCCATGATCGTGTAGGTATGCCACCGCGGAAAGTGTTGCTCTGATAAGGTCTGCAGCGTCGGATTCAAAGTAAGAACCTTTTCGACAAATGCGATCAAACAATTCTCCACCAAGTGCCAAATCAGTAACCAGATATAAATTATTGAGGGTTTCGAAGTAATCGACTAAAGTGAGGATGTTTTGATGTCCCATGGAAACACGTTTGAGTACAGCGATTTCATTACGAATCTACAATCAGGAGGTGTCAGCAAACATGATTAATATGAGAGGAATGAAAAGATCTTACCATGTGTTCTCTTCCCGCCATCAATCGTTTATTAATGACTTTTGCAGCATAATATCTTCCTGTATCAACGTGGACACATTCTTTGACGACCGAGTAAGACCCTGCGCCCAACGTTTTTCCAGTCTTGTACCGACATGCTTGAATTTGAGGTTGCGGCGCTCCTGAGCGAGAACCCCCCTGGGGATTCGAAGAGCTCATCTTGTTGTGCGAAGGCAGAATGGAGTATTAGATGAGGTATATTATTAAAAAGTGCGCACGACAATCAAGAAAGTGATGATGAGCCACTCTGCACGGATGATTCTCGGAGAGATTGATAAGTAGATTTGAAGGGTTGGTGGAAGTTTAAGTTGTTAGTTGTTATGGTGTTCTGGTGTTCCAGAATCAAAAAGGATGGTCTTTCAGGTATTGCGGTCAGATTGCGGGGCAATGGATGAACAGTGATTAGGTAGTTGGGTACACCAGTACCTATTTTAGGCTTAGTAAGCTCGAGGTCAGCTCACCAATCGTTAGCTGAAATCACCTGCATTACCTACCTGCATTCACCAACGGCCAAAGAGTCCAGCATTCACGTGCACAAAGTCAAGTGAGCTCAAGCCTTCAAGGGATCATGTACATGTACGACTAGAAATGAATACGAACCCTTTCATCTTGATGCGAAGGTTTACGAGTAAAATAAGAGATTGAAGGGTTACTGGTGTACCTAGTATTCACATGATTTCTGGTCAGATTAATTGAAATGATGTTCTGTGATAATCGCAAATACTTACTTGAATGTATGTGGCTCACCAAAATTCCCATTGCTGATCACTAGTTTTACTTTCCGAAGATTTGGCTGGCGGTCAAGGAAGGCTGCTTACTTTTGCTTACTTTGCTTGGGCTTGGGTATGGGAGTATGGAGTATGGAGTATGGAGTACAGAGTCATATGAAGGATGAAGTGAAGGTTGAAGTGAAGACTGATATAATACCTACCTAGGTACCGTAGACTTTAGTTCAGCTAATAAAAGACCCCAAAGCTCAGCCATATATATGTAAACCAAACCTGGACCCTGATAGTGGGTGTCACGATGATCTTATTGGTCATAATGATGTAAAGGTCTATTTTAAGATTGGTGAGAGTACTGGTAAGGGTGTTGGTGAGGGTATTGGTGAGGGTAATGGTAATACATATATTGGTTTGTTGTGAGTTGGGGAAATGGCTAGATCAATGGAATCTTTCTAATAGAGTACTAGGTAGGTTCGAGGTAGGTTCGAGGTAGGTACCTAGGGTTTTTTTACTTCTCACTTCACACTTCACACTTCACTTGACACTTCACTCCCACCAAATACGAGTACGATCCACTAGAGATCTCGTATCTTTCTTCACTACCTCCTCTAGTACACAGTCTACATCCACACACTCGACCATACCAATACTCATACCATCACTGTTACCATTCAATTCTTCAAACTTCAAAGTAGCCACCACCCTCCTCTCATTATCAAACTCAATTCATTCATCTCATTAAAAATCTTCCCATGCGTTCTGTTCCTGAACCTTGCTATCGGTACTTAATCCGAACCTTCAGTCCTTACTCTTTCATGGATACCGATGGATGGATGTATCTATCAATCAAACCTTGATCCAACATTTCATGCTTCTTGCTTCTAGCTTTTTTCTCAACACCAACCTTCTCCATTCTAAAACAGGTTCCAGAAGATTGATTCCGCACTCTATCTCATACATTTTCATCCATTGCCCTTCATTTAACAGCATAATTAATCTACACGTGATACAATTGTCTCCATTTAATTACTCCACAGCAAAAGACGCGTCGTCACAGATATATCATCTCAAAATTCTACCGAATGTGATCTTCCAAAACCTAAATCGTGCTGCTGGGACTGCGCCTTGTCAACAGTACAAATCCACAAAAAATCGTAAGTCTCGACTAGGATATCATCTTGTGTTGTCATTAATGTGTATGGCGTTGAAATTCACTTAATTATGTTGTCCTGCCCCGGCCGCGCCGTTTCTTTTTTCTCTTCTTCTTCTCCTTCTCCTCCTCCTTCAGCTCCTATTTATTTGTTTCAAGTATACCCTCGCTTTGTACATTGACTTTCTCTCTTGTTTTTATTTAATTTTCTTTCGTGTACCAAGGAAATCTTCTTAAGCAAGAGACCCGCGCAAAGAAACTGTGGAAATTAGTAATCAGTCGTGCATTTACCGTCAAGAGAGATGGACGACTATGGCGTGGGATCTAGTGGAAGTAGTGGTACCCCAGGACGCCAAGCTGGAGCCCAAGGAAGCTATGACAGTTCCGGTAGCTATGGATCAAGTGGGAGTCAAACAGCACAAGGTCAATACAATGCTCAGACAACCGCATATCAATCCGCATATACATCTGCAGCTACTCCAACAACTACCTCTAACAGTCAGAGTCAAACAAACTCCGCATTCCCAACGTCTACTTCTTCATCAAGTGGACTATCATCAACGGAACGAACAGCAATAATAGCAGGTGTTCTTGGTGGTGTCGGAGCATTATTGATCATATCTCTCATTGCTATCTATCTACTGCAAAGGAGGAAGACTAAGAAGGCTGCTGGTCGCAAAGGAGTTACTCAGCAAGTATCTTACAATGGATTAAACTCTTCATTTGCTGGTGTACCTTTTATCAAAAGGAACAGTCAAGGGAGTGATAGTGAAATATCTCGACCACCAATGGTCGCCGACACTTCATACCAAGGAGCATATATGAGAGGCGGACAGTCCAGCTATCCTGACCTTTCCAGTGATATGGAAACAGACAGATTCCTACCAAATGATGAGGAAACCCAACAGAGAATGGCCGGTGGAGGAAATGGATATCACTCACCACCTAATCACCTTGGCTCTCCAACACAAGATCCATTCACAGATCAAAACCGCCTATCTCAGCTGACACAAAACCGCCTATCTCAGTTGTCACAAAATCGCCTCTCTCAGTTGTCACAAAATGTTGGGTCTCCTCCCAGACCAGGACCATTAGTCAGACATGATACCATGGGTTTTCCTCTCGACGACGATGACACTTCATACATTGGACCAGATGGTGAACAACACCGCCTCTCCAGAATAATGCACAGCCCCCGCACCTCCATTCTCGAACCGACCATTATAGCTCCCGCCCCCATACGCCCCACAGTTTCCCACGAGAATCTCGAGCGAGGCCTCAATGGAAGCCAGGATCTCTATCAAAATCGGGTCGTTCCCCAACATCTTGATTCTCTCACATCAAATTATGATACGCCATACGACGTCGAAAATGAAAACGATACAGTCCCACCTATGTATGGAGGTGTCCAGAGTCTGTCTCCAGCTCCTATAGAATCAGGAACATGGATCGCCGCACGCAATCCACACTTAGCTGCTGCTTTCAGTAATGATATGCATAGAAATTCGAGCACGAGGACTCAGAGTAGTTTTGCACCTAGTGTGATAAGTGATACGGAGTTGGATAGATTGGGAGTGGGACAGAGATTGTGAGAAGGGGGAAGTGAAAAATCAAAGTGAAAGTGAAAGTGGTAGTTGAATGAGAATGAGAATGAGAATATGAATTTCATTTGTAGGATCAGTGTGACGGGGGGCATTGGATTGGGTCGTGGAAAGAAGTAATGTTGATGTTTGATTGGATAAGATGGGATAGTATTGAATGGTACTGAATGAAAGTGTAGGAAGGGAGGGAGGGAGTGGGCACTTGAATTGGCGTTTTGGGAAAACAGCATATGATATCCTGGTCCGGTCAGTGAATAATGAGTTGTTAGTATAGCAGTCAATTGATTTTATTATAATTGCCTTGACTTCTTTTTAATTTATTTGTGATTTGTATTGGGGGTGGGAGGATGGGGAGATGGGAGATGGGAGATGGGAGATGGGAGATGGGAGATGGGAGATGGGTTGAATCTTCTTCCCCGGGGTCCTTGCGATTTGGGGTTTAGACTGCGGGCTACAGGCTGCAGGCTGCTGTGCTTTGGGGTGATATTGTTGTTGTGATTGTTTGGATTGTTATTGTTGTTGTTTGGGTGGGGAGGGGAAGGACGGGGAGGGGAGGGGAGGGGAAGGGGAGGGGAGTGGAGGGGAGGGGGAAAGGAGATAAAATTGGATGTGGCGAGGTGAGATAAGATGATGTGAGATGATGGCTGGTAATTGCTCATATAATTGTTAGTTGGTTGTTGATTATTAGTTATTGGTTTTAAGTTAATTGTTAATTCTAGATTAGTGAATTAGTGAGTCAATTAGTTAGTTCTAAGTTGGTTCTGAATTGGTGGGTTAGTTAATTGGGTTTGTATTTATTTATAGATTTATAAGATTCATGGATTCATAAGATTCATAAGATGTATGTATGAGATGAGGTAGGTAGGTAGGTGGGTAGGTGGTTTTTTGTGTATTTTTGATTAGAGTAGGGAGAGGGGGGAAATGGGATGGGAAATGGGAAATGGGATGGGAAATGGGAGGTGGGCTGGTGATATGATGATTTGATGTTTGTGATGATTTGATATTATATTGAGTATCGGTACGGTTTCTTATTGTTTTTATCGTTACAAGATGGATTGGATGGGTTTGGGTTGAGGGTTGGAGGGGTGGGAGTTTGGAGTTTGGGGTTTGGAGTTTGGAGTTTGGGATGGGGAGAGGTATCGAGGTTTTTAGGTATCTATGAGAGGTTTCTATGAGAGGTTTCTATGAGAGGTTTCTATGAGAGGTAGGTGTGAGGTGTGAGGGTTGACATATGAAGATTGTGATGATATAGTATTGAATATTATGTTATGAGATGAGATGAGATGAGATGATATAACAATCTTTGAGAATTATCGCGCTTTTTGATTTTGTTTTATTTGGAATAATTTAATTAGAAGGAAGATGGATGGTGGATGGTGGGATGAAATGGGATAGTATGAGTATGAGTATGAGTATATTTCACTTCACTTTATATTATTTTATATTATTTTATATTATTTTATATTATTTTATATTATTTTATATTATTTTATATTATTTTATATTATTTTATATTATTTTATATTATTTTATATTATTTTATATTATTTTATATTATTTTATATTATTTTATATTATTTTATATTATTTTATATTATTTTATATTATTTTATATTATTTTATATTATTTTATATTATTTTATATTATTTTATATTATTTTATATTATTTTATATTATTTAAGATTTCTGGAAAGTATAGCGGTATGTATTGGATTGGATTGGATTGAGTATTGCTAGATAGCAGGGTGAGAGGGGGGGTGAGAGTACTAAGTAGATACTATAGTATATATAGGCATGGAATGTGGATTTGTTCTTGAGATGTCTCATCTCTATTACTAAATAAGTGAATAAGTAAATAAATGAATGAATAAATGAATAGATTAATTATTAGAGAATATATCTTCTACTCTACTCTACTCTACTCTACTCTACTCTACTCTACTCTACTCTACTCTATTCGCTTGCTGATAATTTCAAAACAGACTTTATGGATTACAATAGAATCTAGATAAATTAGAATCCACACACGATCCTATAAGATTAGGCAAATTTGCATTTTGAAAGGTCTTTATATCTAAAAGTAAAGTAATCTTATATAGTATAGTAGTTTATGAAATTTCCATCGAAGGTGTCTTGCATATTATCAGATCTGTTCTTCTTCTTCTTCTTCTTCTTCCTCTTCTTCTCCTTCTTCTTCTTCTTCTTCTAGTAGTCTTGCATTTGGACTGTGCGAGCAGCTATGTATAGCTAGGTAGCTTGGTATGGATATCTTGTTTCTCAGACCTGGTGGATACGGGATGGGACATTAAATCGTCGGCTTATGTTTGGTTTGTATGATACTTACGAATTAGCTAGGTAGGTAGGTATGTAGTGCAAATACGATCAAGGAATTTCATGTATTAATTTTTGCTCGGTTTGGTTTCTTATATCATCAGGTTGGAGTTGTTGATACCTAGTTAGGAGGAGGTTTTATACGTAAAGTTTGTTGCATATTGCCTTTGAATATTTTCACCAACGGGATGCGAAATCACCAAGATTGATTTGATTGAATTGTGAGGGTCAATTGGCGAAATTTGGTTTATTGAATTGATATATCGTGGCTTTTCAGATCACCTGGGGTAAGGTAGACTATTTATCCTTCAGCCCTACCAGCAATCAATCCATGTTGATGGCTGAGACGTGGGGTATGTAACCACGCAGAATTATTCATTCTGCTGGCTTCCTGCATAATTTGCATCTTCAAAGTATACAACAGTCACCTCCAATACTCATGTACAGAATCTGCTTCGAAGAAATTGAAATATGATACATGTATGCTTCTTCATCCGGTGAACCAATTCGTGTTCTCTCAGTGAACTTTTGAAAGCGAGAGAACATTACAGACAATGAAAGTCTATTTCAGAAGTCACCGCCGCCTTTTCCACTACTTCTAGACTTCTTTTTATCCCCATGTTGCTTTTTCATCTTTAACCTTGCTATGTTGGCCGAAGTTTGTCTGTCATGAATATCAGCGCATTCTCGAGTTAAAAAGGGTGGCAGTATCTCAAAGCTATCGAACTGTATTGCTATTGTAAAGCACTCCAGATATAAATCACTAAGTTGACTTGCCCTTATAGCTAGACGACGGGCCCCAGCCCCTAACTCCCGCCTATGTTTTTTATTTATTTTAACTTCTGGGTATCTTTACTTATCCCTTTTATTTACACGGTTTGCTCGAAAAGAACTTCTTCCGCCATTGTTTGAAGGAGATGATGTTCTCTATAAGAAGCACAAACTTCACGAATGAATACTGATCGAGAGAACACAAAAGCAAAGAAATTTATGACTTACAAGTGCTTCACTCTCTGTTGTTGTTCAATTGAAGCCTTTCCCGGAACTGTTGTCCTGTATATACGTTTGATTTCTTCATTCAATCTTCGATGTGTCTCCTCTTTATTATCAGTCCGATTGCGACTACTATCACATTGAATTTGAATTGCATCAGTATTCTTCACATAATAAGTGCCACGGCGTAATCCCTTCGATATTATCAACGGCAGAATGGCATCGAGCTTTTTCATAGACCAAATGGTGTTGGCTTTTGAAGATGTTCTGGAGGGAGTCAGTACTTGGGAGACTTGTCTTTGGATTTCAAGAAGCTCGACGTACTTGTTGGTCTTTTGTCCACCAGGACCTCCAGCAGCTGAGTAGGTAGTCTCGGCTAGCTTTGTGGAAATGGTTGATTCATTGAAATTAGAATACCATTTTCTGGCAACCTCAAATTCAATGTCATCTGTAGATTGAACAGAATATGATCTGCAACTCTGAAGATTCAACCTTGCGGAAAAAGGGCGTGTTTGAAGAAACGTTGTATAAATTGGCTTGACATTTTGAGAAGATGATTGCAGCAGCTTAGCTGTGAGCTTGGCAAAATAATGCATATCACTTCGACAAACTTCTTTCTTATCTCACCTGCCTAGAGGTTCATGTGATGTTTGCACGGTGTTGCTTGACTGAGGTAATATGTAAATACTTTACAGATGGAAACTTTCCCCTTTTAGCTCCAGCATTGAAGAGTAGGTAGCGTTACAATGGAGACGCGGGCAAATGTAAATGTAAAACAAATGACCACCAGGACCGCCCCAAGTGTATTACATAAGCATTATTAAGTTGAGCAAATCCATTCAAATATCCGAGCTTTATCCGAGCCAGACTCTCCTAGACTAGGTACCTAGTCCTTCATACCAGTACCGGTGCGGCTAGTGAAAAAAGGTCTTTCAAGATTTCTTGGCATGATCAAATTGATTCAATTCAATTCTCTCACAAACCACATCTAGAAATCATCAAAAGCATTGCGACAACCTCATAATTTCGATCCCACCATATCCAAGAAACCCATCAACTTGACGTCAGTAAACATCAAAGTCTTTTATATTACCAAAGCGACAACGTTACTTTTGATAATCTAATAGATAACTATTTTTTGACCGCAGTTTCCCCCAAAGTTTTCAATCGAGCAGGCAAATCAAATCTTGCCTAAATCTGGATTGCAAACTTATCGCATCGCCTTTGCCTATCACATTATCTCCACCCTCCATTAATTTTTATATCTGCTACTTTCTATCAGTTTGTATCTTCTCCTAGCATACGACATTGTCAAATATCGGATCCAATCAACTTTGATAGTTTGTGTGCATTCCGCACTCATAACAAAGACATTTATGACTTCAGAACCACCTGAATTCCATACAAAAATTCAGTCACCGCTCTCTCCACTTCCGGTTCACTTTCCCAATCCATCTGAAATTCCTGTCCTTCGAAATCAGATTGATCCGACTTTCAACATGACAGCGACCCATGAGCCATCCAAGGCTCCTTTGGTGGTTCCTGAAATCATCGAATCCTCGACGGTTTCTGAGGATATAGACTCTCCACTTTCCGATACGCGCTTTTCAGATGCATATGATGAGAAGGATGAGGATGCAACAGCAGCAAAGGCTGAGGAAGAAGATGAAGGCGATGATTATGCCATGACATTTGACTCTGATGGGGAAGAACATTCAGATAGTCGCGATCAATCACAGGCAGTTGACCAAGAGTCGAGCAGTCTTCCTAACACAGTGCCAACGAGCGAATTGTCTAATTCTCTTTCCAACAACCGACCTGCCACATTTGATACCCAAAATGGCCCAGAAACCCAGCCCGCCCATACCATCCCTTCTCTTACTGTCCCCTCGATTCCTCAATCTACAGCTGCCCAAAGCTCTGATGATTCTCAAAATCCCATTACCAAAGCGGAAACCACAAACTCTGAGGAACCAAACGGAGAAATAGACATTCAGCAGCTTTTGGACAATATTACTGCCAATGCCGAGATTAATGCACAAGCTGCCCGCCCAAATTCTTCCTCTTCTAGCAATGCCCCTCCAAAAGGTAGCTCGAGTCTACCAACCCATGCAAGCCTTCCCCCCCGCCCACAAATTACCCAAATTCCTAAACGTTCCAATTATACTTCTTTCGATGATCCCCATAAGTACAATGTTGGAGGTTCAGGTTTTTCACACCAACCCAACTCCTATAACCATTCTGGTGTAACATCATCATTAGTTGCAGTCGGTGCCCCTGGTACCGCTACTGATTCCCGATATGGACTTCCCCCTCCCCCATCTGTTTCTTTCAATCATCCCCATCAAGATGCGAACAGCCCAAAACTTCACACACAAACCCGTCGCTTTCCATCTGACCAATCCCATGATGGACATGACAATGATGACAGACCTTGGGGACCAGCGGTGCAGAAAAAGTATGATGAATTTCTTGATAGAGAACGCACATATGTCACTGAAGGGCTTTGGGAAAGATTTCCAAAAGGCTCACGATTGTTTATAGGTAAGAAAGTCTTATGCAATACCACTAATCATCAAATATCTAATACTTCTTTCAGGTAATCTTCCATCGGAAAAACTGACTAAACGAGACCTGTTCCATGTTTTTCACAAGTATGGCGAACTTGCCCAAATATCGATCAAACAAGCATTTGGATTTGTTCAATTTCACGATGCCGCCTCTTGTTACAAAGCTTTAGAGATGGAGCAAGGCAAGGAAGTTAGAGGTCGCAAAATGCGTAAGTTATTTCATGTTGCTTTTCGAAGCCGAGCTAATATTCTTGGTACAGACCTGGAAGTGTCCAAGGCACAGAAGAACACTCGAAATGCCGGCCAGACCTGGAGACGATCCCAGTCCCCTGAACAAACAAGAGGAAATGCATCAGCTCGTAATCGTAATGCTCAGCTAGACGCTCGTGGTTCAGGCTATAATCACAACGATCGTAACCAGAATGATCGCCATAGATCGCAACCACAGCATGGAAGTCAACGCCCACATGATGGATATCGATCTGGTAGGTCGCCATCGCCAAGTCGAAACTATAGGGGAAGAGAAGCCAGAGACGAATACAGATCTACTCGTAACAATGATTCATACGATAGCAGAGATAGGCGTCGTTCACGATCTCCTTTCTCAAGTGCACAGCGTGGCAGTTATAGAGATCGTAGCCCAAGCCCAAGCCCAAGAACTCGTGAAGCCAATGAAGATGGCACACTTCAAATCCCTCGACGCGAGCCATCAATGGTTCCCGACGTCCAAATAATTCTTATGGCGGAGTTGGACCGAGGGTTTGTCTCCTGGGTTGAGGGAGAGCTTCGTGGACGAGGTGTTAAAACCGAAGTAATGTTCCTTAGTCCTCGACTATCCCTTCAAGCTGTTATTCGTAGACAGATTCTCGAAGGTGTCATCGCGGTTTCTCAACTTGATATGAGATCTCAAAACGCTAGCAAAATACCTTTGCAAGTATTCGATCGCTCAGGAGGTATCGATGCTGCTGTTCGATTTGATGAGTATCAGGATTTGGAACCTAAGATTGCTGCCGAGCTTGTCGTACGCGCGAAAGCCACAGCTCAGAGACCTCAGTATGCGCCAAACCCAGCTCCGGCTTACCAAGCCCCGACTGCACAACCAAATGCAAATATCGCCAGCATCATGGGACAGCTGGACAACCCTACTTTGCAAAAGTTGCTTGGAACGTTGAACAGCATGCCTCAGCAACAGAATGCACCTGCTGTAGCAGCAAACTCTGCAGTAGACCTTGTTAGTCTGTTGGGTGGGTTAGCACCACAACCAGTACCTCAACAGATTTATCAACAATCAATGCCGCAGGCTGCTACAGACCCTTACGCTAGCTATAACAATAGCGCTGCATATGGTCAGTCAGCCGCACAACAAAATGGACAAGATGCACAGCAGGTACAAGCTATCATGGCTCAATTGGCTAGATATAGACAGTAACCGGTGGATTGGTTCTTTTTCAACTGGGAAGCTATCGTTACGTTCGCATATGGGAATGGCGTTTCTGTATATTACGCGATGAATTATGGTTAAATGTGCATTTCGGGAGTTTAGGGCATGGCATGGTATGGGAGTTATCATGATGTTAAATGTTTGTTTTTTTGCCGCGTATGATGTGTATGATGCATGCCGTTTCAAGAAGAGTTGGCGACGAGGGCATATCAGGGGATAGAACAGAACAGAAGAAATCACTCGTGCGTAGATATTCCTCACAGCTCTTAATAAACAAATAATATCAAATGCAGAGATGTTTCTATTTCTATGTCTATCTATATACTGAGTGAGGTCTTTTTATCTATCGAGAAGTGTGGTTGCTTTTTCCCGTATCCTACAATTGCTGTACATGTGGAGATGAATTTGTGAATGAACAAGAAATGGAATCGAAGTGCGTGTATCTGGACATAAAAATTCGTGTGCTATCGTACAAAGTCGTCGTGTGTGCTCCTGGGTATCTAGAGCATCTTAGGCTTCGAGGGCCATGCAGCTGGTCTTGTATAATGGTTAGCTGGTGAATTGAGAGGCTCGAAGATCATTTGTCAACTCACCTAGTCAAAAGCAGAGTTTCCACTCCAACCTTTTCTCTCGATCTCAACCAAGCATTCAAGTGCATCCTTAACATGTGGACATCCCGTCCCATAACATCAATTCCTCTCTCCACACACGCCATCCTTAATTCTTCTTCCAACATCCCTTTCACACCCCCCTCATTCTTAATGAGCTTATCATCCATATCCAAATACTTCACTCTCTTCTCCACTCTCCTCCTCAAAATCACATTCGGCAGTCCAGGCAATCTTCCTCCGATATAATCCCACACACTACTACTCAGACCCAAACTCCAAGAGATATGCAACAACTGCATACGTCTCAATCCCTGTGCATCGGTTCCCGCAGGCGGAGTCTTGATAGTTAAATTTCTAAAACTAATCGCCCTCCTCTCTTCCAATTTCTTCCGATCTGCATCGATTTGTTTGGGAATCCGACATGTCCACGGCACGACACTACTAATCGCAATAACGACCAGTGGTGTAAATTCTCCACAGATCAAAAACACCAAAGCGAAGATGGGAACGCGCTTGACATCGTGACGATTGCGGATCAAGAGTTGGAAATCCGAACGAGATAGCGCATCGCCTTTTACGGCGGAGGAGAGAGAGGATTTGTGTTTTTCATCGATGATGGTTTGGATGTTGCGGGAGGCGATGAAATTGAAGTAGATGTTTTTGACGCCGGTTTTGTAGAATTTGGCATAGGCTTTTCCGAGGGTGAAGGCGTATTTGAAGAAGAATGGTTGGTTGGGTTCGCGGGTGGGGAGATCGAGGGGCGCGGGGAGAGTAGAAGGGGGTCCGTTGACGGTGTTGGCGGGGATTAGATTGGAGGGGAGGGAGGGTGAGAGAGGAGTGCTGGATTGGAAACGCTGGGTTGATGGTAGGGAGCAGAGACGGACGAGGGGTTGATATTGAGGTTTGAGGGGCGAGTGGAAGAGGGATGAAGTGCGCAGACTGCGCATGGTGGTTGTATTCATCGCATTGGTGGGATTGGTAGATATTCAATTCGTATATTTGAATATAAAGATAAGTTTTGATGTTTGATACCTTGCGGTGCTAGATAAACTTTCTGCAAAAAAATGGTAAAATCATTCACATCACTCAAGTACGAGTAGTGGCATTCTAATTTTCCGCATTAAAATGTATGGACGTACCAAGGTCTTCATGGGGTATTTTAGTCGAACAGGGATTAGTTTCATATATTTCATCCCTCTATATGGTCCGAGCTTCCGCGCGGGTCAGAATCGGTATTAGTGTAATGAATCTTCAATGATTGGTCAATTAATCACTTAGTGCTGATGAGTTGGATATCAGTCCGAAAGGATTCGGATAGACAGGGACTACAGTAACATATGCCATACTCGATAAAACTCTATTCGCTCGGGATTTCTTGAGTGGGCGGGTAGTTGGGAATAAACATATATAAACGTTCTGTCTTGATTTGGATTTTTAGATACTCATTCATTCTTTGAGGGAGCCTTTTGGGAAACTCAAGAGGTGTTGTTCGTTGTCGATATCAATAACCAAATACAGGTATAGGTATACCTTCAAAATGTCCTGGCCCTACCGCATCAAATTTCCCACTCCGGAAGAGAAAATCCAAAGTCGTATTCTCCTCGATCGATATGGTCTCTATGCCCAACTTTCCATTTTCATCCCCATCATCCTGTATAATGTCTATCGATTAGCGATATGGGTTTATTCCGAGCGTCAACGATCGAAAGTCGATTACAACGCCCTTCCTAGTTCTCCTACGTCGAAGAAGAGGAGGACTTCGAGGAGCGCGGAGTGGAAACGAAAGACAAGAAGTGTGGTGTGGTGGTTGGGCGGGGAAGTGGCACCCGGTCGGGGCGAGAGGGGCCAGTGGATTATGGCGGGGGCGTGGGGGGCTTGGTTGGGATTTTTGTGTGTGCATAGGACGGGTGATGGTATGGTTATTTATTTGTTTCTGATGTTGGTTGGTGGAGGTGTATTGAGTATACTGTTCTAAGCAAAGTTACTTGGATTGTCTGTATATCGGAGTTTGTGGAAGTTCTTCTCTCGAGAGCTTGCAAAGAACAGCAGATATCTCATCTGGGCAGATTTGAGATTGCAAGCGAATCCCCCCCCCCTTCTTGAACTTACTATTCCATCTCAAGTGGATCGAGTCTCTGAATTATACTCAGCTGTCGAGGTCCTCTCATCGGTGAGACTGTGGTTGGGCTATCTAGGACCTTGAAAATTCATATGTTATATGATTGAACATAATGACTAATGATATATCCAGATTACTTTCATATAACGAAGCGATTTGGTATAGTTGCAGCATCACAATTCCCTGCTCACTATGCACTATCCATGAAATCTTTATATTCACCACTCTCCGTATTATTCGGATCATCGCATGAGCAGCTCAACACCTGGCACCGAATATCCGGTCGAGTCATATGGACTCTTCTTGCTTGCCATGCCAGCTGGTATGTAAATGGTTGGATTCAGATTGGAGTTCTGTACATGAAAGTCACAACACCTATAATCATCTACGGTATACTCTCTTTTTGGCTCATCAATCTCCTCATTATTACGAGTTTACCAATTGTTCGTCGTTGGTCTTACCGGGTTTTCTTCATCATTCATATTTTTGTCGCCATCGCCATAGTTCCTCTTCTATTCTTCCATGCCACTGCTCTCCGTATTTACATACTTGAAGCATTCGCTCTTTTTATAATCGACCTTGGCATTCGCAAATCCAACACCGTTAAAGCTTTCGCTATCATAAAACCGGTCCCAGAAACTTCACTTGTCGAAGTCACTATCCCAATTACACCTTCGAAGATATCTCAATTTCAATATGCTCCAGGTCAACATGTTTACCTGTCTATTCCTCCATCATCTGTCCCCAAGTCTACAGAGTATAATCGCCATCTCTATGAATTACTCTACAATCCATTCACTGTTGCTTCCGTCTCAGAAACTCCTTCACCACAAATCACTCTTACAATGCGCACTCTCAACGGACCAACTACATCTGCTTTATCTTCTCTTTCTCATCTCAACAAAGCCCATCCACCACTCAACATCGAAGGGCCATATGGAACCTCTCGTAAATTCCCCAATCTAGCCGAGAAATTCGATAGAGTATTGCTTGTAGCCGGTGGCGTCGGCGCTACCTTTACCTTACCCATTTATCGAGCTGTAAAGCAAGAAATGGAAAATGATGGTAGAATAGGTAGTCATGTAAGAATGATCTGGGTTATGCGAGATGCAGCCGAATCATCCTGGGCACTGTCTTCCTCCTCCTCACCTCAAAATGAGAACTCGGAACTCAAAATCGAAAGTAACCCGGGAATAGAATTATACATCACTTCTCCCCGTGCTTCTCCTTCCACATTCGCTTCTTCGCCAGGTGAACCTGGTAGTGTGGAAATGCATAACTTGGCATCTCCATCTACTAATACGAAGTATTCGAGACCGGATTTGCGCGCGATTGTAGATGGAACCTTTTGTCAAGGATTGGAGGAGAGGGTAGCGGTCCTGGTTTGTGGACCAACGGGTATGGCGAGGGAGTTGAGAGAACATGTAGGGAAGTGGGTTGAAAAGGGTAGGGAGGTGTGGTGGCATGATGAGGGGTTCGGATGGTAGGTGGAGGAACTTCGAATTTGGGAATTGAAGAATGTGGGTTTCGGTTTGTCACAACTGCTGACTGGGTAGTAAGAGTGTTTGGGTAATCAAGCAGGGCGCAAACTATGCATGCCTAGTGTCTCGTACCATGTGTTTTCTCTGGAATCAAGGATAGATAAACATGGTTTGTAGATTGAAAGCTGATTATCACAGATTAGATAGAGAGGTCAGATTTAGAGATAGAATCTTCTATTCCACATCTTACAGAGTTTCTTCAAATGACTACTACATTCGAATAGTACCACATTAACAATCACAACACTCTTTATCCAAAGTAAGTAAATAAAAAGGTTCACTTTTGACCATTGAATGTAATACATTACCGTTATCAAACATGGGTTCGCTACCCCTTGAAGACTTTCCCGCAACGAGGTGTTTTCTTTTGTGTTTTCAAGACATGTTAAGAATACCACGCATCACACACAGCAATAATGCCATGCTAATTTTCCAACCCAAGTTTAACCCCCGTATACCAAACGCAGGATATCAAACCAGGACCCCGCCAGACCTCCAAATGAATCTCCTGTGTTTACCCATACCAGATAAATGAGCTATTCGAACCAACACCCACACAGCGACTCACGAATCCAATATTGAACATCCCATAATACCCATTCATCTGTTCCGCTTCAATATCAGATCCAAGTTTCCCATACGTCAACCTATCAAGCTCCAACTCACTCTGAAGAAAGCGCCCAAAAATCTCTCCGTGGACGCTTCCTCGACGAAGTTGAGATTGCACAATTCTGCACCGTCGCTACCAAAAGCTCCTTTCTTGAATGCTTCTTTTGAGAAATTGAGTTTGCTTTCGCGTAGTTATCCCCGAAGAGTTATTCCTCAAGACCTTTTCAGAAGAAGGTTTATTTTCCGATGTTCGCATGACTATTTCCCAGAAATCATTCCTTGCACGGGTTTGAGAAGCAGTTGGATTTGTAGAATCTTGTGTGGATTTTGCTAATTTCCTTTTTGGAGGATTACTAGAAGGTGTATTAATATCTGCAGGAGCTTGCATGACTGTTGCCCAAAAATCCTTCCTTATAGGTTTCTCAGGAGGTAGAGCAATATTTGCCGAAGATTTTATGACTCTCGCCTGATCAGTTAGATCAAAAGCCGCAAACTGGTCTTTACACCTTGCCAAAGTCTTTGCCATGATATCGTGTTCGATCGCCGCAACACAAAGTCGAGCAATCTTTTTATAAGTTAAGGGCTGACCATTTATTGCATTAATGAGCTGCAATCTCCTTTCATCCAGATACCAGTCCCTAAAGTATTGTGATTCCTGTTTCTCTTTCGATATCTGGTGATTTATATACTCATCAGCAGCTTTATGGCTCAAGACTTGCTTTAAAGGGTCTGAAAAAAAGCGCCGTGTTACTGAGATGATAGGGTCAGACTTCTCTCTTCTCTTTGTATACTGATCTGAGTTCGCAATATCTCGTGAAGAGCCGTGTGGAAGAGGGAGACGAATTTTGATTACTGTGTCTTTTGACTCATTCAGCGTTGGGCTCGTGGTTCGAGTATCTTCAAATGGTTCGGATATTGGCCAATAGTTGAGCTCGGAGGTTCTGAGAAGCAAAGGTGGAGACGGCGTTGTAAGATTGATGACATGATTCAGACTTTGATGATCGAGCGCAAACTGAGTCCCGCAGCACTCTGCAGGAAATGAGGTGTGAATTGGTGATTCCTTTTTACGAGAACTCGCATTGAACGCAGTGAATACTTCCGTTTTAGGACGGTAGGATCATAAAGAGTGTTGATATAATCAAATCTATCATGCAATGGAGATACTTCTAAGCATACAAGATTAGATAATTTAGTATGATGTTGAAGAGATGAAGATCAAAGGAACAAACGATCACTTGTGTTCTTGAAGGTTACTAACAGCTTCCTCCTCTTTCTATCATTTGCGTATAACCACAACGAAAATCACACTTTCCTCGTCTCTAGAGACGAGACTGCAATTTTGAGAGTGCACAGATATTGCCTTTGATCTTGCCTGATCGATGTGCACTGGACGAGGTTTTTGGATTTGGAAACTGGAGCCACATATGGACAAGTGTGATTTTTATCTAGGATTCAACAACTTGGGACGCTAGTACTTGGTCTTGAGAATAAATACCTCTCTAGGTACGTATACTAAAGTAAATTGAAAGTAACATCGTCGGGCAGAGTTCGATTTCGTGGATTTGTGAGCCAAAAATCTCCATTTAAGTCTTAACAAGAGCCCTCTATGATAATGTCATGTGGACATTTCGACAAGATTATTTTGTCTACACTTGTAGATTTGGTTCACTTCTTTTAATACATAAATTGACATTTAGACCAGCGAGAACATGTTTTGTTGCACAAATTATGGAATTTTCTGTGTCCAGTTACTCGCATTTTGAAGAACCACCTCTGAAATGTACAATTTCCCACCTCGCAACAAACAAAAACATGGTTATCTATATGGTGCATCAGCCCTTGCTGCTGCCGCCAATTCCGGCTCCCACTTGTCTCCGTTGGCCAGTAACTGTAAAATGAGTTAGTAAGAGATGAACCGAACCCGGCGGGTTATTTGAACATAGACATACCTTCTCCTTGTTGTACAATAGTTCTTCTCTCGTCTCAGTGGCGTATTCAGCGTTTGGTGATTCCACGATAGCATCAACTGGACAACTCTCCTGGCAGAAACCGCAATAAATACACTTTGTCATATCGATATCGTATCGAGTCGTTCTGCGACTTCCGTCTTCACGCTCCTCCGCTTCAATCGTAATAGCTTGTGCGGGACAGATCTAAATTATATGAGAATCCGCCACTACTCATGAAAATGGAATAACATACAGCTTCACAAAGCTTGCAAGCAATGCATCGTTCTTCTCCTGAAGGGTATCTTCGTAAAGCGTGCTCGCCTCTGAATCGAGGAGAAATTGGACCCTATATTCTTTAAGTATTCGTTGCCACCCTAATATATTTTTGAACTGTATACCTTCTCGAAAGGATAATAAATTGTATATCTACAAGTAATTAGCCACTGCAATATGGAGGTTGAGAGACTCAATGGCATAACTTACGGAGGTCTGAAGTACTGTTCTAGTACTACGTACATTCCTCGGAACAACTCCGACATGAGGAAGTATTTCCCTGCCTTATCCATCGTACTCTCCTTGCTCTCATTCCATCTCACAGGTTTTGGCAGTCTGAAGCCGGGCGGGGGAGGACCGGCTGGGGTGGCGCCTCGAAATTGAGAAGTCGAGAAAGTCGCTCTAGATGCAACAGGTGTGAATGTGCGAATTGTTGAGGCAGTCAAAGTAGTTAATGGACGACTGCGCGCCACGAGCATAGTTATGGGCTTTGTTGTTGCCATTGTGAGGGGTTGCTCGTGGCAGGATTGTTGGAGATCTGTAACTTGGATATGATATTATTTGAGGGTTGACGGAACTTTACGACTTGATTTCGAAATGACTTTCTGTGATTGGCCAAAAGTTGAGAGCTTCTATTGTACGCCACCACTTACTTTTATATTTTTGAAACGGTAATATAGATTGAATATAGTCCCCAAGATACAATTTACATCTCAACCCAAATTTGTACCAATCAAAATTACGCTGCGTAACTCCATCAAAGTCGTCGGCGCAACTCTGTCACGTGAATCCGAAATACGCTAAAGCTAAACATTCTGGGAAGCATCTCTATCGTCAAATTCGCATCTACTACTGTATTATCCACAGACGTCACTTCTAATCCTCTCCACACATCAAGATGTTCAGAACCGCCCTTCTCAGATCAGCCCGCAGCGCTGCTAGCAAAGCTGTCCAAAGACCTGCAGCAATTGCTCGTCCTATCAACCAAAGTTCTTTCATCACAAAATCTCAATTCGCCCCATCAGCTTTCCAAGCTGCAAGATGCTACTCCGCAGCCGCCGGTCTCAACAAGGGAGAAGTTGAGGGCAGAATCCTTTCTTTACTGGAAAACTTCGACAAAGTAAGTGTGCTTAATAATGTCTGACTGGGAATGTACTAATTTGACCTGTAGGTTTCGGACCCAACGAAGGTATGATATATGATTGGGAAGACGGCCTGAACGCCATTGTTGACATTGAATAGCTTTTCTGCAAGCGCACACTTCTCGAACGATCTTGGGTTGGACAGCTTGGACACTGTAGAGGTTGTTATGGCTATTGAGGAGGTTTGTACAAGACATTCACAGTGGGGAACTAAAGACTGATGCGGTCACAGGAATTCAGCATTGAGATCCCAGACAAGGATGCGGATTCTATTCTCAGTGGTATGTCGTCTTGATGGGAACATTCAATAGCGCAAACATCTAACAAATTCCATAGTTGACCAAGCCGTCGAGTATATTCTCCACCAACCAGATGGTGAGTCTCCTACAATATTTCACAAAGGCAAACAGAATAGCTGACATCTTTCACAGCTCATTAGATCATGGAATTGTATAATAAGGGGACGGTCAAGATTGAAGTAAGGCAATGGGGGATTCATGGACCAGGAATGAGATTCAAGTGGTGAACGGGCGGCGATACAAGGGAGGGGAAACTTGTACGAGCTTCGATGCGTTCATAGAAGTGATGTGATTCTATGCGCCTTGTAAAAATGTTTAGATCATCTTACTCAACAAACCTCTGTGTTCCTCTCTTAAATTTAAAACATGAAGATACATTAAGTTTGGATATGTTTCAAATTATTCTTTTCACTAAGAACTTTCTCTCCGAACCATCATAATAATCTCCCCACTTCCCCGGTCAAAGAAGTGCCTCTATAAAATATTAGCGTCCTCTGATTGCGCTATCCCTGTTCATCCACGCACCTCAAAGCTCTACAGAACAATTCAACCTACAAGACACTACAATTGCCCCGCCCACTTTTTTTACTATTGATACGAAAAAGAACGAATTCAAGAATCTAGAACTTCGATATCAATTAATTTATCGACAGAAGATAGGATATTCTACTGGTGGAATTGCTTTTGTGAGCGGTAACGCCGCTGTCTCACTGCAAAGAGGACAAAAATCCATCCCCCTTTGCTTAATTCCTACGACATCCCCTACTCATACATCAAATACTACAAGTATAATCGATTTTGCGATACGACCCAATGTCTTCTGGACTCACACGCAGAAGAGGTGGTGGAGGAGGAGCTGGCGATACAGAAAATGGAGAATCGAGTCGTGTTGCATCACCAGCGCCCAAGGCTGGAAATTCTCGCGATACAAGCGGCCCAGAAACATCATATGAGAGCGGAGAGAACGGTCACAAGATTGCCTTTGATCCAAGAGATATTAGCGAAAGTGCAGAGAGAAGCAAACAACCTAAGTTGACGTTAATGGAGGAGGTTTTGTTACTGGGATTGAAGGATAAGCAAGTAGGTGGCTTGATCTGGACAGGTGGTGGTTTTGCGCTTCTGCGATTGATACTAATGTTGTTTATAGGGTTATCTTTCATTCTGGAATGACAATATATCGTATGCGCTTCGGGGATGTATCGTCATTGAGCTAGCATTCAGAGGGAGAGTGAGCATGCAGAAGGATTCTTCGAGGCGGCGATTCCCCTTAGCAGACAGAGTAATTGAGGTTATCGATGACACCTTGACAGGAGAAGTCTTATTAGATGAAGCGCTCAAAATGATGAAAGCGAGTGAGAAGATGAGTGTCAGTTCATGGATCGATTTGATGAGCGGTAAGAAATCGCAATTTCGCACATCTTAAGATCTCAACATTAACATTATCTACTAGGCGAGACATGGAATCTCATGAAAATCGGATATCAATTGAAACAAGTCAGAGAACGTTTGGCTAAAGGATTAGTCGATAAGGGCATTCTAAGAACCGAAAAGAGAAACTTCCTTCTATTCGACATGGCGACACATCCTGTAGCAGACGGTGGAGCAAAGGAGGAAATCAGAAGAAGAGTCCGAAACGTCCTTACACAACGAACTGTTGTACTCCCAGGCAGTCAATTCCTCCCCGAGAATCTCGAATTCAGATATGTGAGAACAATTGCCATGGTATGTGCTGCCTATGCAGCCAACGTATTAGAGAACGCCCTCGCATCACTCGGTCACGAATCCAGAGAACGAGCATTTGCTCAAGTTGATGAGTTATTGGCAGAATATAGCCAATGGCCATTTGGAAAGAGAGCAGGAGGCTCAGCAGGAATAGGTGCAAACTTAGGACAGGTTATTACAGATGTATGTATCATTCTTTATTCACCCGATACCCCTGTCTGTGCACCCCTTCCTAAAATTACATATACTAATACCATGCAAATAGGAAGTAAACAATGGAAAGGATAAAGAACTACAACTTGAAGTCGTTGCCGCATGTTTAAGTGTCTTTACTCGTTTGGATTCTTTGCTATAATTATTTCTCACACATGCAATTCGATCCACGATCTCATACACAAGGCGGAAGTGGGCCGCATCTCGATGACACTTTTATGATGGAGGGAAAATTACAAAATATATCAACACACACGCACAAGGAGATCTTTTGCTATGCCACCGCTACATCACTCATTTTCGTTCAATTGGAAGGGGAGGAGGAGTAGAGGAGTCGGAATATTAGACTCTTTGTCCGTGAAGGAAATGGAGAGAAGAGAAAGGGAAAAGTTCACCTAGTAGTTTCACTCATCTGTTCTTATCTGGGCGGGCGCCAGGAAATGTATTTGCAGATACGGTACGAGGTAAGGGAGGAAAATTAAGATTCAAGAGATGAGGAACTTGGGCATGCATAATCATCGGATTTGCAAATGGATGGGGATTTTCTTGTTAAGAGAAAAAGAAAAATCACATCTTACCTTACTTTACCTTACCTTGCCTTATGTACCTTTGGAATCGTGTTGTAATAGCAGAATTTAAACAGATTATTAGATTTTTTTATATTTCGGATAAAGATGAAAATGAGGATGAGGATGAGGACGTTTGGTGTGAGTGATATGATGATTATGGTTATGGTTCTGCTTCTGAATAGGTATCTTGTGTCTTGTTCTTATATCTTTATGATTCTTAAGGAATATATAGGGGAGAGGGGTGTAAAAGTTTGCTGGTTTGTTGGTTGGTTGATTTATTTGTCTACTATTAGTAGACAGGTAGGTGATAAAACAGTGGTTTGTATGTTCTAGATTGAGATATTTCAATAATAATTCAGCTGTTCACAAAAATTATCTTGTACAAAAATGTTCATTGTAGATGGTATCGTAGAAGACTTCTCTTATGATCAATGTAACAAGTACAGTGTCATCATCCATGCATCCATTTTGCTGGATGAGAATGATTCTCCTCCTCTCCTGGTCAGTCTACTCCATAGACATGACACTATCACTTTCCTGTCCTATCCTACCTACCAACCACCACATCCTCTATTATAATTTTCCTATCCTCACTCCTAAACACCCAATCAAATCCCTAACAGAACATCATGTCACAATAGCCTTTATTTTTTCTTTCCTCCACCTCCAAAACTACCCTCAAATCCCGGCCTACTCTTCTTCTTTGCACCACCAGCTGGCTTTCCACCCTTTCCGCCCTTCTTTCCCTTTCCACCCTTTCCATCCCTCCTAGCCTTGAGATTCTCCTCTCTCTTCTTTTGTTTCATATGAGTTGCCTTCTTGACACCATCCATCCTGTCACCCCATTCCTTTTCACTCTTCTTCTTCGCGGCCTCCTTTCTCTTAAGGGTTTTCTTCAGTAACGAACTATCGTCTCGAACTTTCTCACCATTTACGCGCTTTTTTGCAATCAACCAACGTTCTTTCTCTTCGATGTCTTGACGTTTTTCGGGATCCATGGCTTCTAGACGAGATTGTTTCTTGGCTGCTGCGGCAAGTGCACTATTGGCATCTTGTGGACCCTTCTTTTTTGGTATGGATTTGAGTGCGGTCAAATCTTCATTGAGACTTTGTCCATCAGCGAATGCGACTCTACCGAAAGCAAAATTGTTTTCGGGTGAGCGAATTAGAGGGCTGAGCAAGCTTCCTGCTGGACTACTTCGTGCTGATACCAAAGCGGCTTCTCGCCTAGCCTCTTCGTCAATCTTGGCTTGGAGTCGGAGTTCTTTTTTGTGGGCTTTGCGTTGCTCTTCCTTTCTGCGACGTTGGTCCATGAGTTCTTGGCGATTGCGAACGGGGGTACCATCGGGATTGTTTGCCTTACGTTGAGCTCGTAGGGCTTCGATGCGAGCTGCTAATCTAGAACGGAGAGCTTCGGAGTCGGCTGGAATGGTAATGTGCTTAGGAGGGGCGGTAGGAGGGATAGTAGAGGATGTAGATGTACCTCCACTGGCATTGTCCTCGTTTGTTGCGGAGAAAGTAGATGAGGGCGGCGATGATTTGGTAGATTCAGGCTCCTCTAGACCTTCAGCTTCGAAATGACCAATTTCTTGATCATGCTCTGGTTCCTCATCGGCTGCAATTTCATGCTCGATTGTCTTTTTGGTAGGGGTCTTGTCAGTGGCAGTGTCCTTGGTCACTTCTTCAGCCACATCATCTTTTGTAGTCGACTCACTAGCAGGAGTGTCTTCGGTTGGTAATTCGACGACTTGTTTGGCAGCTTCCTCCCTCTTTGCCTTTTGTTTAGCTGACTTCTTGGCTGCCTTTGCCTTCTTCTGTTCCTCTTTCTGGTTTCTCTTTTCCAATTTTGCCGCCTCTTCTTCTGGTGTCAAACCTTTCTTGGATGTAGAGTCTTTTGGTGTCGCAGATTTAGATGTCTCTTTTGCGGATTCAGCATCAGTCTTCAGCTTCTTTGCTGGCTTCTCGCTGGCCTTTTTCAATCCTTGTTTTGGTAGTTCTTTCTCAATACCCTCGACTTCGGAACCCTCCTCCACATCTTCAGACTCTTCCAATTTTCTCTTCTTTGCTCTTTCATCCATGACATCCTTTGCGGTCTTTGCAGAATCTGGATCAAGCTTTGCGCGTCTTGCAGCAGCAGCTTGTTGCTTAGTTTGCTTCTTCTTTTTCCATTGATCCTGCATATTGGAAAGACAATCAGCATTGTGGCACTAGCAATTGAAACCAAGATGAATTTTCAACATACACTGGTATCTTCGGCATAGTAGTATTTCGCTGGAATCAAGGATAGCAATCCATCGAATGCCTCTGCATGCTCACGCAGTCTGTCCTGTGAAGAATTGTTAATGGATAAATAGGAAAGGCGGGGAAAAGAAGACAAACTTGAAGAGTGCTCTCTGCCATCTTTTACCAATGACAAATGAATTACAATACGAACACTGGTGAGATAAAACTTGAATTAAATAAATGATATATGTTTTGATCCTAATGCAATCAAAATAACATAACTATCATAAGAGTTGTTCTGTGTTTGTATGGTACCTAGGTGTGATTGAAATTGGAGTAAAAAAGTATGAAGCTTTTCTTCTTCTCCCTCTGTACGATAATCCGAGCCAAAATTAATTTTTCGAGATTTCTTAACTCCTAGTGCACGAACTTTTGATGAATTTTGATTGGTCAGCTCGAGCCAATCAAGGGTCGTTTTTATGGGGCTCTTGGTGAAATATCCATTTTAAGCGGACGAGGCGGGCAAGGTGAGTGGACTCACTCTCTCCTCTACCTACCTAGCACACACTTGTGCCTACCCTACCTAGTAGATAAGTGAAGTCTGAGAAAAATAAGAAAAGTCAAAAATCTCAGCCTCATACATCAGCCTCACACATTTTGTCGGTAGGTACCTAGGTACGTATCAATCGACATCGTGGCAGTGCAATGCTGCAAGTCAATCTTGTGGTTGGGATTTCTTGGTGACCCGCCAACAGATGATCTGATCAACCGAAAGCAAATCAATTATTTGCTGGGAATCGCATAAGGAGTCCAAGAATCAAGGATTTCAATATAGAAGTCTCATCTAGCTATTTATTATTCTTTATCTTATTATACCTGGGTAGCCCCAAGCAACATGTGGATCAAGTATATGATGTCGTGGCAATCATTATCACCGCTACATCTTTGATAACTTTCTCAATCTTTATAAGTTTCTGCGATTCCTTGTTGCACCAACCAGCTCCTTTTTCATCCCATCAGCATATCAGCCTCCCTTATTCGCCATATGAGACCCCAGTTCCAGATACCCACCACCTTTCCCTGACATATCTGGGGTGCATAGTGATATCGCAAAAAGCTTGATAAACCGAAACCCTACCAAACAAATTTCTCTTCCAAGCAGGCTGAGCTTTTTCAATCCGCTTCTTGTCAATAGTCCCCAGGTTTGATCTGCCGCATTTGTTGCTTTGCCTTCCTGTGTGTGATTCACTTCAGAGGAACGAGAGTGTAAAAAGAAAGAGCCCCCCTTCTCTTTTTTTCCAGTTCAGCCCCATCGTATACCTCAAACCGCCGGCGAAATATGTCTCCGCAAGATTTCGTTGAAGCAAACTCGCTTTCTGGTCTGATCCAGCTTGCTGGAAACCCTCCGAAGTATCCACGAAATCCAACCGAGCAGAAAAGGGCCAATCTAGTCCTCTATATCGCTAGAGTACCTGGTAGTAATGGTGCGTTTGCGTGCATATAGGGCGTTGATCGTCATAGCTGACTATGTTTTCTAGATATCATTCTTACAACCTTGAAACCACAACTCAAGAATGTCACATCCGAAGATGTCGCAAATTCTTTCTACTACTTACATCTAAACTCGGATGAGGATGCCCAACTCTTACCCGAAGAGCAGCCGATTCCCTCCCGGGCACTGTCTAAAAAGACTTTACCCCGCAAGCCTCTACCCGATGGCTCTAGGGCCCAGTCTTTGGATATCGATAGGCAAAGTGTATTAAACTTGGAGCGCCTACAGCACCAAGCACCTGCGCTAGATATCCAGAAGGATGATACTTCGAGATACGATGAAATCGTGTCCCCGCGTGACAACGTTGCCAATACGCCAATGGTAGCAGAAGCAGGTATTGCTCGGCGGGTTGTAGGTCAGCATCCTTCTATGGCGCGGTCAAATACCGTCAACAGAAAGCCTATGACGAAAATAGTCCCTCAGAATTCGATGTTCACTCCAGGGTCTTCTCAGACTGGTACCCCTATTCACAATGATCTGGAGACATCACACCGGCCTCAAAGTAGCCATACGATGTTTGAAAGACCCAAACCAGTTGATGATTCTGCAAAGGCATTTTCGATAACTATCATTCGACGAGATCCAACCTCGGGCGGCCAATGGAATGTCGGCATAGTTGAAGGGAAATCAAATCCTCCCACTGTAGGGATGACGGCAACTAAAAAACCTTACTATGACATTTCTGTACATATCACAACGCCAGGCTATACCTATTTTCGCAATCATACTCACCCGATAGGCAATAACAAGCTCGGTGGTACAGCTCAAGCTCGGGAGTCACAAGGAGCTAGATTCCAACCCTCCGGAAATGAAGTCCCCACATCAGTGACGCAAAAGGCTGGGGTCTCCGGATCTGGGTTTCACAGTCAAATATCGATGGAATGGGCTAGTTCATGGAATCAAACTTTTAAACAACACAGAAGGGCAATATCTGATTTCTCGACAAATCACAGCAGAAACAACAGCGGTAGCTCGGAAGGTCCGCAGGAATCTGATCCAGAAAATCGGTCCGCGGATGGGACCGAAAATTCTCGCGCCAAGGGTTACACATTCTTAAGTCCTTGGGGAGGTACCTGCACTTTCTCCACTGGTGGCGCTGGCCGGTCCTTACGTTGTCTACACAAGCTACCAGCCCCAGTCTCCGCAGATTCCACTGCCTCTTCGTCAAGCTCTGTAACTGTGAGCGAACTTCGCTTCAATTTACCAAGTTCAGATTTATTCGATAGAGAGAAGATGGACTTGGCTGCAGCTCAAGTCAAGAGTGGGTCGACTAAACTCACACGAAAACTAGGAAGTTTCCGTAAAAGACTATCTAAGCCTAGCCCTCACCATCCATCTGAAACTCAGCCGCATCAAACGTCTCATGCTATCCCATACGCAAGTGACGGGACAGATCTTTCCCATCTGCCACCTAGACCTTCCTCAATTAGCTCGTCATTTGAAGAAGACTCTCCGCCCTTGACACAAAGATTAAATAACTTCTTGGACGAGCTGACAATCTCGAACGATAATGACGATCGGCTAGACCTTAGTATTGGACAGGAAAAAGCCGGTGGTGGGAACAGAGGCAAACGTGCAAAACTTGGGAAACTTATCATCCATAACGAGGGATTGAAGATGTTAGATCTGATTATAGCGGCTAACATTGGCGTTTGGTGGACCGTTTGGAATCCAAACTAGGCTCATATTTGGAATGTGTACTTCTTCCGCATTTCTGGCACGCATGATACTTGAAAGGGGACAAGGAAGGTCCGCATAATCTTTGAATATCCAGCTATATGATCTACGAAAATTTCACCTTGCCAAATTTCAGTGGCGAATTGGCGCTAATATTTATGGAATCAAATACCTATTTGGAGTTATTTTAGTGTGGCGCATTCATCGGAGGATTATGTCAATGAAGCATCACACGCTCTACAAATCATCAGCCGCGTAGATATGTCTATTTTCTCCTTCGTTCTGTGCTTTAGTGTTCCCCCTAGCCACTATCTATGATGTACAATTTCAGCTTAATTTCACGGGGACCTATGAGGACTCCGACGATCCATCGTTGTTGCTTGTTGACTTTTTCTATTCGAGTATATGCAATCTCGCAACGTGGCAAAATTAACTTCATCTAAAGTTCGGTATTGATGTAGTACATCATCACATGGAAACTGTTTGATTTGGCCTTTCCCTACGCATCGATCTCTCTTGGCCAATTGCAGGTTGCTTTTACACTTGCTTTTACACAAGACTACGTTCCGCTATGATAGTCCTTTCGTTTTCTATGCAAGAAACGACCTCATTTTAATGATTCACATGAAAAATCAGGATGGGAATACTCAGTTCCGAAAAGAGACGGTATAACAGGCAACAAGGACGATTGGCGTTTTTCTAGTGACATGAAAGCTCTTTCCTCCGTAGTCTGAATACACAATGCCATCTCCTTTGTCCCATCTCGCTTGATTGTGAAGAAAACTGCACCTCCTTTCAATATTTCGGCCTCTTGGCGGTCCCTTGGACTGTTTACTGGGGGCGACAGCTCTTGCCTCAATTTTCCAGTGTTACTTTGGTGAGGAGAGTTCCCATATATAAAGTCTCATACTTCTTCCCCTCTGCTTCTCATTTTTTCATCAACTCATCAACTCATCAACTCATCAACTCACATTTGCTTGACTTTGCTGAATAACCTCGCTTCGTACAAACACTCTAGCTCATTCCATTTGCTTTTGGATCAAGTCAATAAACTCTTCCCTACAATCAAGATGCGTTTCACTATCGCTACTGTTATTCTCTCTTTGGCCGCCATGGTCGTTGCTATTCCCACTACGGAATCAACAATCTTTGCTCGTGGTGGAGGTCAAACCTGTGCTCAAGGTCAAACTCTCTCATGTTGTCAATCTGTTACTAGTGGAGATGATGGCATTCTAGGCAATCTATTGGGGTTGAACTGTAAGTTATATTTCATTAACCCGTTAATATTCACCAATCTACAAGTAGTGTCTCGTCCGGTCCAGAAGTCTTTGCTAATGAAAATAATAGGCGCTGAAATCCCAATCCCGATCATTAGTGTCTTGCTTGGAAGCAAATGTAACTCCGCACCAGTCTGCTGTAATTTGAACGGCGGCGATACCAGCGTAAGTCTTCTCTATTCTTCATTAAATTTCTTTATCTTACATGGCTAGCCCGATTGCGATGACGATTCTAACAGTGGTGGTACACAGGGTGGAATCAATGTTCTCACCAACAGCTGCGTTGCCATTCCAATCGTTCTTTAAATGGTCAAAAGCCTCGAATCCTCCACGAAAAGGAGCATTACTGATCAATCGATCATCACCCCTTTCCTTATCTCCCATCTACCCGTCATCTCAGCATCAAGAAACATCTCTTTTGACTTCTTCGACCTAAATCAGCAATATACACTTCGAAGCATTAAGCATGGAATCCAGCCGGGTGGCCGTCTTTACGTATATGTTTGTTCTCTTTCGGCACTAGGACTCAGTATTGACTTTGCGAGTGTGTGATTCTCTCTTCCTTTTCAGATGATGTCTCAATTCAACATTGGACACTTCTCTTTATTCTTTCCTCGTGCATGGAATCTCGTTTATACATGGATATTGATATGGTTGTTCAAATGGTTCGG